TTAACAAGCGTTCTGTATAGTTACATAAAAATCAAAGTAAGGAATCAAACGACTTTGGCTTTGTTTCCATTCTATTATATGTGTTTCAACACGTGTGTTTGTTTTATCACAGAAAACACAATTATTAGTACCCATGAAGCGGATTCATCAACATCAGTGATATTATATATGTATGAATTAGTTAAGTGTCCCGTAGTGTCACAGAAAGAACTAATCTAATAGAGGCCCATCCAAGATACACAGATATCTATTATCAAGGCAATTGGAGTAGCGGTTGTCACAAAAAAGTAAAATTGCCATGATCAACAAATAGCCTGTCACTCAGCAGTTTTTGCCAAAAAAAGAATGACATTTCTCTATTGAGTAGGTTAGTGTATAGCAGTATAATATATTCAGTAACGAGCACAGATTTCCACTGAAACCGTATCAGGTCTGCGCATCATCGCAAAGCATCATTAAAATTGAATTATTTGTTCTTGAGATATTGGTGGAACAGACACACATATACATACATCCATAAATACACGTGTGTTGTCATATGCAATAGATTTCCATATTTAGATTTAGTGCATTTCTGTAATATCTTTGCAGCTATATATAACCAGCTGTATTGAATTAGATTAAAGGGTATTGAGATATCTGTAGTTAACAGCAAAATATATATGTATCAAAAAATACATCTCAAAACTAGGTGAAGAGAAAAATAGTTGGCTCAGTAGTTCTACCTGACAGGGTATTTAAAGATTTTACCCATTACTAAATCGTCAAATAAATATTGTTCTTTGGATACTCTACATACGAAGCTCCTTAAAGATAACATTAAAAAGGACGTTATGCTGGCCATGCTCGATCTTTCCGCCGCGTTTGATACCTTGGAACACTCTATTTTAATTCATCGTCTCCAACATAGTTTTGGTATTACAGGCACAGTTCTTCAAGGGTTCACTTCCTGTCTTACAGATCGTTCATTCAATATCTCGTTCGACTCATTATCATCATCGTTACCAACTAATTTGTTATTCGGTGTCCCTCAAGGTTCCGTCCTTGGCCTGATTCTGTTTACACTTTACACATTGAAGACATTATTATTACGTCATGATATTGATTTGATGCTATATACCGATAATTTTCAGCTATATGTAACTTATAATAAGCCATCCGATTCAATTAATCGTGTATTGAGACGTGTATTTAAGATATTCGTGCCTGGTTGAAATCGAATATTATTCATTTTTTATCGCGTTTTAAAAAGAACACTGAAATGTTGAACTCATTGAGAATTGGTGGGTCTGACATAAATCTGTCTAGCTCAGTCCGCAATCTTGGAGCTCATTTTAAAACTAGTGGTGATTTTGGGGCACCCATAATACTCATCTTGTAAGTCAGCTTACATTTGGACTCTATTGGATAAAGCGGCCACGATGAAGTTGGTCCATGCATTTGTGAGTCGAGATTAGACTACTGTAATATTAAATGTTATGGATGCCTTCAATTTGAGCTATATAAACTTTAATCTGTTCAAAAGGAAGCAAATAGACTCGTCATTTTAAAAGAATCTGACCACATTACATGTACACTTTATGATTTGCCTTGGCTACGCAATTGTGAAAATACATTTAAAAGTACTGTTGACTGTCTATACAATTTTAAATATTTTTGCTGAAATTTATTTAATATGTGACTTGGTTGACTGTTATGATCTGGGTCATAGTGGCCTCAGGTCATCTAACACTGATCTTGTTATTGAAAAGACAAGATTTAAAATGTATCACAAAAACATATGATTGGTGTTACTTTATTTACCGGAGTTTAGGGTCTCACAACCGGCATAGGTTTAACATCCGTGTTAGGTGTATATACATACGTAAACCTAAAAATACATACATAAAACGTGTGCCACACCTCGGGCTAGGTGAGCACTGAGTGGGTTAGGTTTGTTTGCTGGTATAATCCAGGGCAATAACGTGTGAATTCGCTCGACGGACTTGAATCGAATAACCCCACCCACTAATGGTAGATATATGATCAGTCATAGGTATTGTGGTATTTGGCGAAATAAGCTAAGCGATGAAGGGAGACGAGGATAGACAAACATTAAATTGCATTACATTATTAAATGGAAATAACGACCTGCAAATGTGGGCATTTCTAATGTACCCCGGAAAGTGTCTGAATTTTATTTTAGTTATATTGCACTTGTGCACTTGTGTCATAAATTACAAGACAATTACATACATTATCTAACACATAAGTTCATCAAACTCCTGAAATGTGAAAAAAAATGTGGCTATGATTAGCCCACAGTCCCTCTATAGAGGAATAAAGGGACTGTGATTAACGCAATTCAATCAACTATATGTGAGGTTATTTAGCAGTTGAATTTGCAACAATGAATGAACCACAGTTTTGGGTAAAATCCAGTCACCGTAAAATCTGTCAAGTTTCCGATGCAAATTACAGGCAGGTTTCATAACATCCCAACACTTCCCTGGGAAATGTATACGTCCCAAACCATTGGATTAATTTATAAGACATTGTCTACGGTTATGAATGTTAATCATGACACTAGTCTCAAATTCAAATAGGCAGCACTGACATGCCAATCCATTAGCCGATAATCAATAATCGTATAGGGATTTCTATAAATCTGAGTAGTCGATTCATGAAATAACCTTCTACACAGGAAATGATGTTGTAACAATTAGAGGTCATCTGCCTAGATTATTTGTCAACAGTTCATACTATCTATCATGGAAACGCTTAAATGTTGAGATGAGACATTTTTTTAAAAAGACCTATGCAGGTTGTGATATGATTTTATTATAAAAAATAGCAATACTACGCCCGCATGAATCAATTCGTCATAACGCAAGATTGAACACAACTATGAACTATAAAGAAACTATAAAGACGCATATGAGCGTCGCTCAAATCGGAGTACATACCCCATTGTGTCAGGGCAGTGCCACCTGCTATATAAAATGCTTTTATCCAACATGGCGGTGACTCGCGACTGTGAAAAACGAATGTGTATTGGGCCGAATTGTTTGGTTACTGGTATTTTATTCTAGTATGCAAAACAGGAAGGCCAATAGTATTTTGACCCCGTAAATCACTTAGTCGTAACCCAACATCTTTGATACTATAGCTACCGTGATTATTGATGCATCTGCATATCTGTGTGGACAAGTTCTGACTTGACTATTATTCTTAATTTTAATGGAGTTTTCTGGAATATGACTTTTTCGAATTATATTCATCGCAATGTAATGTACTTGGATATGCTTCTTTATATAAACTGTTCTCTTCTCTTCTCTTCTGAACTCTCATTACAATGCCTCTACTTAAGTTTTTTTTCAGTTCTTGCACTAATGCCATAATTACTTCTGTGGATGGCTTTCCACTACTATTGGAGTGTGTACCACTATCGTTGTCCCGGGGAATTGAGTGTCTTGTATTTAATGTAAGACATGCATTTTGAGAGGATGGTTTCATATCATGGAGTAAAGTTTGTTTCACCACCAGTGGTGCACGTCTATTCTTACAGTACAGTATAATATTTTTTTATCAGTTTCACTTGAATTTAGTTGCCATAATTCTAACTCTATTTCAGTAGAGTATTCTATCATTTGAACCTCCTACTGAATCCCCATTCCAAATAGTCACCATTTTCCTCCTGTTTAGACAAGCATTTCATAGTATGCGTCATTAATATTAACAAATTTTTCATACAATTTTATCCAATCAGTGTACTCTATTCTAATCTCATTTAAATTATCCTTATATATCAATTTCTCAAACGTAACTTTCTTGTTGTACTCCAACTATTTTGCTTACTATGTCATTTCATGTTCAGGAGTTTTGCAATGTTCCATATCATCTGTGACACCGTACCCTTTATCTTGCTCATGTCTGTAGTATGTAGTAAACAACCATTAGCTAGTTCGTTATTAGAGATGTAGGTAGCACCGGTGTAGGTGTAGGTGTAGGTAGCACCAGTGTAGGTGTAGGTGTAGGTGTAAGTAGCACCGGTGTAGGTGTAGGTAGCACCGGTGTAGATGTAGATGTAGGTGTAGGTAGCACCGGTGTAGGTGTAGGTAGCACCAGTGTAGGTGTAGGTGTAGGTAGCACCGGTGTAGATGTAGGTGTAGGTAGCACCGGTGTAGGTGTAGGTGTAGGTAGCACCGGTGTAGGTAGCACCGGTGTAGGTGTAGGTAGCACCGGTGTAGGTGTAGGTAGCACTGGTGTAGGTGTAGGTGTAGGTAGCACCGGTGTAGGTGTAGGTAGCACCGGTGTAGGTGTAGGTGCAGGTAGCACCGGTGTAGGTGTAGGTGTAGGTAGAACCGGTGTAGGTGTAGGTGTAGGTGTAGGTGTAGGTAGCACCGGTGTAGGTGTAGGTGTAGGTAGCACCGGTGTAGGTGTAGGTGTATGTGTAGGTGTAGGTGTAGGTGTAGGTGTAGGTGTAGGTATAGGTAACACCGGTGTAGATGTAGATGTATTGTATGTGTAGGTGTAGGTGTAGGTGTATGTGTATGTGTAGGTGTAGGT